CTTCATATAGTCCAGCTTCTCAGATTATTTGCTCAGCATATAGATTGAATAATGTGGAGAAAGGGTACAACCCTGACGCACTCCCTTCTTGATTTTAAACCATGTAGTGTCCCCTACTATACAGCCCCAGTAATCAAAATAGCCTGGTATTGGTACAACAACAAACACATATACCAGTAGAACAGAATTGAGAACCCAGAAATAGATCCATAGATCTATGGTCAGCTGATTTTTGACAAAGAGCTGAAATCCATTAAATGGGGGAAAATATGGTCTTTTTAACAATGGTGCTGGCATCTCACAGCATACACAAAAACTAACTGCAGATGGATCAAAGACTTAAATGTGAAACCTGAAACTGTAAAATTCTTCAAGGAAAAACTAGGGGCAAATTTAGGGGCCCTAATTTGGTAGCATAGTGTCTAAGACATTTGACTGTTAACCAGAAGGTTGGTGCTTCAAACCCAACAGCCACTCCATGGAAGGAAGGCTGGGCAATCTACTTCCATAAAGATTTATTACCTCAGAAACCCAAAGGGGGTCACTATAAGTCAGAACCTACTTGATGGCAGTGAATTTGGTTTTTGGAATTTATGGCAAAAATAGACTCTCAAGCATAACCCAAAATGCACAAACAGCAGAAGATAAACTAGATGAATGGGACCTTCTAAAAATTAAATTTTAATGTGCTTTTACAGACTTCTCCAAAAGAGTAAAAGATAATATAGAGATTGGGAAAAAATATTTGGCATCAACATATCTGACAAGGGGCTTATCTCTAAAATTTATAGAAAAATCCAACACCCCAACAACAAAATGACAATCTAATTTAAAAATAGGCAGAAGACATGAATAGACACTTCATCAAAGAGGATTTTCAGGCAACCAACAAACACATGAAGAAATGTTCACGATCATTAGCTATTAGAGTGATGCAAATAAAACCACAGTGAGATACCATCTGGCCCCAGCACTAATGGCAAAGTTCAACAAGACAGAAAATAACAAGTGCTGGGGAGGATGTGGAGAGATTGGGACTCTCATACACTGCTGGTGGGACTGTCAAATGATACAACCACTGTGGAAAGCAGTATGGTGATTCCTTAAAAAGTTAGAATTAAAAATACCATTTGACCCAGCCATTCCATTACTAGGTATATATATCTTAAAGAAGTGAGAGCCAGGACAAGAACAGATATATGCACACCCATGTTCATTGCAGCACTATTTACAATAGAAAAAAGATGGAAACAAGCTAGGTGCCCATCAACAGAAGAATGGATAACCAAACTATGGTGCATACACACAATGGAATACTATGCAACACTGAAGAATAAGGTAGAATCTGTAAAATACTGGGTAACATAGATGAACCTGAAATAAGGCAATTACAGAAGGACAAATATCACATCAGTTCATTATTGTAAAAAGTCAAGGAAAGGTTTATGTATGGAAGGAAACTTTCTTTGCTGGCTACCAGGAGTGAGAGGGGAGGGGAGGAAACATTGCAAAAATTAAAAAATGAAAATAAGTTAATTAATTAAGCATCTTGGAATTGGTAGTCATTTATCTTAAGTGTTTACATGAAGGCAAACTACCTTTAAAGTTATAACAGAGGTAACAATCTTCTGACTAAAAAGCAAAAGAGTTAACCACATTCTCTAGATACTAAGAAGTGTAGAGATGAACAAAACAATGAAAAACAAACCTTGCGTTTGTGGAGCTTACACACAAAAAAAGTTTGATGATGATGGTGATAAGCGCTACAGAGAAAAATAAATCAGGAAAGATGTTGTGAAGAGGAGACTGCTAGACCCATGGACAAGGAAGACCTCACTGAGAATTTTGTGTGTGTGTATGATAAATATATATGTAACAAAAAACTTGCCCATTTCAACATCTTCACATATATAATTCAGTGACACTAATTATGAGAACATAATCTTTGGGTTAGACTTGAGTGGGAGGATGACTCTGTGGCTTTTGGAGGGAAGAGTGTCCCAGGAAGGGAGGCTACAGTGTGTTCCAGAAAAAATAAGGAGACCGAGACTGGCCGAGTGAGGGCTAATGGGACAGGAGCCAAGGTCAGCACAGAAATGGGTACCATGGATGGGTCTGAAGCCCAGCGTGAGAACTTGAGATTTGACCCTGGGTGAGGCAGGTGATGTGTTTTAAGACGATCTCTCCACTGTTGTTGTGTTAAGAATATCCAGAAGGGGGTGAGGATGGAAGCAGGGAGACCTCTACATATTAATCCTCTAAAACACAGAGGATCTAGAAATAAATTTTGTACTGGTGCTCTTTATTGTTGCTTGGATGGTAGTGAAGAACCAAATCAAATTAGGTAAACTCTGTCTGTAGGTTTCTTTCAATAATAACACCAACTTACTACAGGGCAATTTTTAATTTAATCCAGCAGGACACAATTTGAGGATAATCAACCAATACTTCTGGTTCCAAGGCTGGAAAGCCATGCTCTTATACTTTTTGAAGACAGTTAGGGTAATGTGTCTGATTTTAGAAACTTTCCCATCCTCTTCTTCCCATCCTCTTCATCTACTGGTGCTGAGCATCAGTTTGTATTGTAGCTAGACTGTATGATGGTTAAATTTACTGGGGAGGCTCTGTCTGGGGCAAATGGTTAACATACTTGGCTGCTAACAAAAAGGTTGGAGGTTCGAGTCTATCCACAGACACCTCAGAAGAAAGGCCTGGCAAACTAATTCTGAAAAATCAGCCATTAAAAAATGGTTGGGGTTCCAGAAGGCAATTGATGATGGGGCTGAAGCATTGTGAAAAATGTAACTCATGTCACTGGATAAATTGTATAGAAATTGTCAAATGGGAACCTAATTTGCTATATAAACTTTCACTGAAAACACAATAAAATATTTTTAAAAGAAGGAAAAACAAGAATAGTGTTGGGGAAATAATATTAAAAGCAAAATCTACTCCCAACCCAGAAAATCTCTCCACCAAGATATGAGAGAAAGAAAAGTTTTATAACTGAATAAGCACTAAATTAGAATGCAATGCATCAAAGATAATCCACTACAGAGATTGCAAAAACAGAAACAAATCTGACCCCTTGCTTAGCTGAAGGGAGTCCGTGGACGGCATAAGTAGTTAAGGGCTCAACTACTAACTGAACATTTTGTGGTTGAAATGTACCTACAGGCATCTCAGAAGCAAGGCCTGGTGATATGCTTCTGAAAATCCTACAGCGCACAGCCACTCTCTGCACACATTGGGCCGCCATAGTCAGAATGAATTCCATGGCAACTTTTTTTAAAAAAAATGTTTTTAAAAGCTGAGTGGATACAACCTGTTGTTAAAAAACAAAACAAAAAACCAAATTCACTGCTGTCGAGTCAGATCTGACTCATAGTGACCCCTCCTTGGGTTTCTGAGGCAATATCACTACAAAAGTAGATTGCCCAACCTTCCTTCTGAGGAGGGGCCGGTGGGTTTGAACTGCCAGCCTTCTGGTTAGCAGTCAGTGCCTTAAGCACTATGCTACCAGAGTTCCCATATTTTCAATAGGGAGAATTAAAACTTCTATTTTCAGTTTGTATTTTTCTTTACAAAACCCTGCGGATCACAATTCTACTCTGACACACATGGGGTCACCAGGAGTTGGAATCAACTTGAAGGAAACTGGTACTGGTAATCTTAGTGGGAGAATGAGAAATGTTGACAATATCCCTGAGGTGTAAACGAATTGAGACTGAGAATTGCCATTGTGAGACTTAATACACATACTTCTTTATAGTTAGAATTTGGAGACTCCTAAGACATGAAATGAAAGGAGGGAAACATAGAAAACACTCCCCCATCTTCCAAAACCTTGCCTTAGTTCCTGAACACTGTGGGTTTGTTGGTGCCTGGGGTTCTCTCCTGGAGTTAGGTGCCCCTTTGTAATTTGATTCAGCCTCTTGTCTTCTTAGGTATGGCATTGCGGGAAGCATTAACGTGACGGGAGATGAGGTGAAGAAACTGGATGTGTTATCCAATGCCCTGGTGATCAATATGCTCCAGTCTTCCTACAGCACCTGTGTTCTGGTCTCAGAAGAGAATAAAGAAGCTATTATTACAGCCAAGGACAAGAGGGTGGGTGCTACCCAGGAGGGCTGCTCTTCCACTCCTCCCCAGTAGATGAATTTGGAAGACTGATTACCTTGCTTTGTTTTTTAGTCTCTCAGGTTTTCCTCTATTTCTTAACATTTGTTTTCTGGAAACAAAGGAATAAGTACTTCTTTAGTTGTCAGTCCTGTGTTGCCCAGTAAAAGACTCCATAGCAGGGCAGTGATTCAGTCAGGAAATAAACCAGGGTGATTTACCAAAACACCTGAGTGGATTTCACTTAATGTATCAATATCAAGTGCTACTGTCATTTGGGGCTTGAGGCTTGCAGAATCCAGTCAAAACTGTTGCCGGCTGGAAGAGCTTACTGTATAGCCTCTCACCCCTCCTATCAGCACTTTCCCTACTGAAGTCACTTCCCCAAAGGGGTATGGTTTCAGCAGAGATTTCTTCCTGCATGACAAATGGTTAGGCTAATCTAGAAAAGAAATCATAAAGACTATACGCTCTTCCCTAAATTCATTGGTAAAGTTGGTCAGTGTGGGGCATGGCTGGGGAGAGTCTACATTCTCTACCTGTTCACAAACAGTTTATTAAGAAGAAGGACTACTAGGTGGTCAAAAGTTTGATCAATGTACAGTTGCAATACAGTAATACAAAATAAACATTGGGACTATTGGGTGTTAGAGACAAGATGCCATTTCTTGATTAGCTGGAAAGGAAAAAGTAAAGTCACATTTACCTAATCAGGGTGGCAGGGCCTTTGCCTTGGAAGTTTCAGGCAGAAGGAGGCCAAGGCACTGAAAAGTTCCACAGATTGTTCAGTTGAGTAACTTGCCCTCAGGTAAAGTGCTGGACTGGATTTAAAGGCTCATCTCTGGCTCGGGGGAGCTCTGGCGTTATAGTGGTTGAAGCATTCAGCTGCTAACCAAAAGGTCAGCAATTCAAACCCACTAGCTGCTCAGCAGAAAGAAGATGAGGCAGTCTACTTCCATAAAGATTTACAGCCTTGGGAACCCTATGGGGGCAGTTCTACTCTGTCCTGTAGTGTTGCTATGAGTTAGACTTGATGGCAGTGGGTTTTGGCTCTGGCTCCAGTGCTCACACTCTTTCCACTGTTACTCATAATCAAATAAATGGAGGCATCATTTATTTTTTATATTACAAATTGCCACTAATTACGTAATGTCTGTATAATTAACTTCCCATGTTTATCTTTCTTATCTCTCTTTCGAGATTATAAACTCCGTGGAGGATTAGGTGCCCCAGGTCACCTGACCTAGTGAGTTATATATACGTATTGACCTTTAGTAAATATTTGTGCTTGGCTGACTGTTGTCTAAAAAAGGCCAGAACTTCATTTTTAAGGGCAACCTATCAAAAACTTGGAGTCCCTGGGTGGAGCAAACAGTTAACACACTTGGTTGCTAATTGAAAGACTGGGGGTTCACATCCACAGAGAGGGGCCTCAGAAGAAAGGCCTGGTGATCTACTTCTGAAAAATCAGCCGCTGAAAACCCCATAAAGCCCAGTTTTACTCTGACACATACTGGGCTGCCATGAGTCAGAACTGACTTGACAGCAACTGCTTTTTTTTTTTTTTTTTTATGCCAGGTAATGTGCAGGGCACTTTATACATAATTTCAGTAGATTTACAGCAATTACAGTCAACTTTGCCTGATATGACCCTTTTTTAATTCTTGATTCCAATCTCCAATCATTTTCTTTCCCAGTCAGCTTGAGCCACACATGTCTTCATGCAATGTCTTGAGTATGCCAAGGCTGTTCCCACCAGGCAACACCTGCCAATTTCGCTACCTAAATTTTCCTTCCTAGTTCTCCATGTAAGGAGCTCTGGTGGTGTAGTGCCTAAGGCATTTGACTATTAACCAGAAGGCTGGCGGTTGAAACCCACCAGCCACTCCTCGGAAGGAAGGTTGGGCTATCTACTTCTGTAGTGATACCGCCTCAGAAACCCAAGGAGGGGATGCTATGAGTCAGATCAGACTCGACAGCAATGAGTTTGGTTTTTCGGTTTGGTGGTTCTCTATGTGGCTTCATTCCTTAATTCCTATCAGGTCTCTGATTAAAAATTTCCTCCTCAGAGAATCTGTCTGGATTATCATAGCTAAAGTAGTGTCCCTTCCCTGATAACTCTTGAGCCCTTACCTTGCTTGATTTTTCTACAGGGCACTACGATCTATTTATGAATGTGTTTATTTGTGTATTATGTTTTCCTCACTAACGTCAGCTCCAGGAAATCAGAAGTTTGCCTCTGTTATTCATGAATAAATCCCAGTACCTTGAACACTTTCCAGCATATGCTAGATGCTCAACAAACATCTGCTGAGTAAGTGAATGAATGAGTGAGCAGATAAGGTTGGATTATTCACAGGGAAGTTGGGGAATCTGCAAGTTTGTGGATGATCCCATTTTTTTTTTCTCCCTTTAGCTGAGCAAATTAAGAAAAAGAAATAAAGGTCAAATCAAGCTAGGGCATTACTCACTGGAAAGTTAGGGAAAAATAATTTTAGTGGAGGGAAAAATTACCTGATGTTTTATTAACCAGTTGCTGTTAAGTTGACTTTGTCTCATAGTGACCCCCTGTGTGTCAGTAGAAATGTGCTCCATAGAGTTTTCAATGGCTGAATTTTTGGAAGTTCATCACCAGGCTTTTTGTCAGAAATGCCTCTGAGTTTTGGTTAGCCTCCGAACATGTTAACTGTTTGCACCACCCAAAGACTCCTGGTGTTTAATTAAATCAAAACAAAACAAGACCAAAAAAAAAAAAAAAAAGCTAGCCGGTTGATTCTTAGCAACCTGATAGGACAGAGTAGAACTGCCCCATAGAGTTTCCAAGGCTGTAAATCTTTACAGAAGCAGACTTTTTTATCTTTCTCCGCCACAAGGCTGATAAGTTTGAGTTGCTGACCTTTTGGTTAGCAGCCAAATGCTTTAACCACATGAGGAACCTAGAGCAGAAGACTCTGGTCCTCATCTCTGAGGGTGCTCACCATGTCTGTGTCTCACTAGGTTTATAAAAAGTCCTAGTGATTTTTCTCCAGGTAATGGTGGCTGGGGGTGCCTGTGACAGCAGGGAAATGGTGATGGGGAGCTGAGTACTTATGACTGCACTTACTCTGTTGTCTGGTCTTCACATCAAACAAGTGGATTGGATGCAGCAAACTCAGAAGAGTGTTTTTATTCTCCTGACATATTTATGAATAACAGCTATCTTAATAAAACAGGCCAGAGGTGCTGGGATATTGTTCTATGATTTTCTGAGATGTTTTGGCAAATTGTTTTCTGAGGATTTTGGCAAATTGATGCTCACAATTTAAAAATCCCTCTGGGGAGGCATTCAGGAAGAATTATCAATAAATTGGTAACTGACTGTAATGGGGATACCAGTCGAGCTGGCTCAGAATACCTTTGGCAGTAGCCCAAGTTTATCTTCAGCTTCCCTACCTCTTCTCTGCCTGGTACCTAGGTCAGAACTGACTTCCTACAACACACTTAGCAACTCTGTGTCCTCAATGGGCCAAGGGAGGAGGGGAGGGCAGAACAGAGCACAAAGAAGAGCTCTTTGGAGTGGGTGGTATTCAAGTCGCTTTGTCTACTAATCTGTTATGGGCAGAGCTGGCCCTGGACTGCAGAATTTAAATACGCTGCTGCACTCTGCCCTCCTTATCATTGCATATTTTGATAAGGATATCCTGTTGATCTAAATATCTTTTTGATGTAGAATTAACTGTCATAAATAGCCACTTAGATAGAGAAATTGTGCTGGTGGGAAGATAACCTGATGGAATGGTCCCTTCCTGTCTATTCATTTAGGGCAAATATGTGGTCTGCTTTGACCCGCTGGATGGATCTTCCAACATTGACTGTCTGGCCTCCATTGGAACCATATTTGCTATCTACAGAAAAGTAAGTGGCTGGTCTGATATGCAAAGTCTTCTTCCTGGAGTGGTTTTCTGGAAGGTTCCTGAGCTGGGAGCCATAAGTCTGAAGTTCTAGTCTCTGTCCTGCCAGTAACTAGACATGCCTTGCTGGCAAATTGTAAACCTCTTTCTGTCTCATGTTCCTCATTGGAAGAACTGAATTGGCAATTCTTCTCTGCCTTCTTCACAAAATTCTTGTGAGATTATTGATTAATTTTATGGATTAAATTGTGTCCCCCCAAAATACGTATTGGAATTCTAACCCCCACATCTGTAAATATGATCCTCTTTAGAATTAGGTTTTTTTTTTTTTTTTTTGCTACAACAATTAGATTATGCCTGAGTAGGGTAATCACTTCTGAGTCATAAAAAGAGTAGATTAGACACAGAGATATACATACATATGGGGGATGGCAGATGCCATGTGAGGATCTCCGAGAAACCCCCAGGACTACCTACAAGGAAGGAATCAACATGGCCAACACCCTGATGTACACGTCTAGCCTTCAGAACTATGAGAAAATAAATTCATGTTCTTCAAAGTCACCCATTTGTGCTTTTTATGTTATAGCAGCACAGCCTATGACATACAGTGAAGAGAGACAATAGGAAGGACCTTGTTCTGGAAATCAGGATAATTACACAAATCTCAGGCACGGTATTAGGTGCCAAGTGACAACAAAGATCCATTCTCTTTCTCTCTTTGTGTATCTCAAGTCACACTATTTATTTTCTATTACTGTAAAATAATTTACTGTCTGTTGAGAGGCTTAAAACATCTATTTATTATTCTGTAGGTCAGAAATCCAACATGCTTGTCTGGGTCCTCTGCTTAGGGTCTCATACAGCCAAAACCAAGGGAGAATCCACTTCCAGACTCATTAAGGTTGTACCAGAATTCTATTCTGTTTGGCTGTAGGACGAGGTTCTCATTTATTTCTTGGCTGATGGCCAAGAGTCATTCTCAGCTTCTACAAGCTGCTCATCTTTCCTGGCTTGTGATCCCTTCATCTTCAAAGCCAGAAAAGGTGGGTCAAGTCCTTCTTCTGTTTTGCGTCTTTGTGAACTCCCTTCTGCTTCATCTCTCTTACCTCTAGACACAGAAAATTCTCTGCTTTTAAGAGCTCAGGGTATTAGAGCCCACCTGGATAATCAAGATAATTTCCCAATTTTAAGATCTACAACCCTAATAACATCTGCAAAGACCTTTTGGTCATGTACAATAACACGTTTAGAGGTTCTGGAGATAAGGATGGGAACATCTTTTTTTTTTTTTTTTAATCTTTTATTGTGATTTAGTGAAAGTTTACAGAGCAAATTCATTTTCCATACAGCAGGTCATGCACATTTTGTTTCTTGATATTGACTTCAGTTCCCCACAGTGAAACAGCTCTCTTCCTCCTTCCTCCCTGTAGTTACCTCTTCCATGTATCCTTGCTTCCCATGCACTTCTGCCCCCTGAGCAAAACGCTGCCCTTCTGTTTTCCTACAATTGATCGCTCCAAGGAGGGTATCGACCTGATGTAAATGTTCACCCCATATGCCTGTCTATTGTTTGGCTGGAAGTTTCTGGAGTGAGTTCTGTTCCAGACCTGAAGAGGAACTAGGAGCTATAGACTCGGGGGTCTCACTGGGCTCTATTAGACCAGCAAACCTGTTTTTTTTTTTTTTTTCATGATTTTGAGTTTTGTTCCACATTGTTCTCCCACTCTACATAGGATGTCCTGCACCAATCCCCCTCTGACTGTTTGACAGTGGTAGCTGGGCACCTTCTAATTCTTCTGGTCTCATAGTCACATAGGCTAAGGCTGAGGATCACATGGCCTACCAGTCCACTGGACTAATTGTTTCCATGTGTCTTTGTTTTTCTTCATTCTTCTTTGCTCTGGACGAGGAAAGAACCATTGTTGCTTCTAGATGGCTGGTTGGAAGCTTTTAAGACCCCAGTTGCTACTCACCAAGTAGGATGTAGACAATGTTTTTTTGTAGTGTGTTATGCCAATTGTAGTGTGTTATGTCCAATCAGTGGACCATGATCCCAAGTCCACTGGTCCAACTACTCACTCCCTCAAGGTAGTTGGCTATGGCCAAGAAGCCACCACAACCTTGTCCCTTGTCAGCTTTACTATACACCTGGACATTCTTACAGCACCTACAAATATGCATGTAGAAACATCATCTGCCAGCCTTACACATGATCATGGGCACATGCCCCCATGCCTAGACATACCTGATCATTCAGCCTGCTCAGATGGGAACATCTCTGTGACCATTCTACCTATCTGATATGCCTCCCAATAGAAAGAATCTTATGGGTTAGTTTGTGACAATTTAATATGATCAGACTACCACCTGTCTGTCAGTTAGTTGTACTGTGGCGGCTTGCATGATGCTATAATGCTGGAATCTAGGGCACCAGTATTTGAAATACCAGCAGAGTCACCCATGTTGGAGAGGTTTCAGTAGAGCTTCCAGACTAGGACAGACTAGGAAAAAAAAAGACCTGGTGATCTACTTCCAAAAATTACCCAATGAAAACTCTATGGACCACAACAGAATATTATCTGATGCAACGCTGGGAGATGAGCACCCTAAGTTAGAAGGCATTGAAAATACACAGTGGCTGCCAAATGAATTTGAGAAGGAATTTACGAAGGACTGGGCAAAAGTTTGTTCTTTTATACATAAGGTTGCCATGAGTCGGAGCCAACTTGATGACAGCTACAACATGACCAGAAACTTCATACCAGACCACACAATCCAGGCTCTGATTTAGGCATAACTCAAATTGAGAATCATTCCTTGTTACATCAGGGCAGCAGGGCCTTTGCCCTTGGAGGTTTTAGGCAGAAGGAGGCCAAGGCACTGAAGAATTCCATAGATTGTTCAGTTGAGTAACTTGCCCTCAGGTAAAGTCTGGGCTGGATTTAGAGTCTAATCTCTGACTCTGGGGAGCTCTGGTGGTGTAGTGGTTAAAGCATTCGGGTGCTAATCAAAAAGTTGACAGTTCAAATCCACCAGCTGCTCAGCAGGAGAAAGATGAGGCAGTCTACTTATGTAAAGATTTACAGTCTTAGAAACCCTATGGGGCAGTTCTACTTTCCTATAGGGTCACTATGAGTTGAATTTGATGGCAGTGGCTTTTGGCTCTGGGTCCAGTGCTCATACTCTTTCCACTGCTACTCATAATCAAACAAATGGAGGCATCATTTATTTTCTGTACTACGGATTTACGTGTCTATTTAATTAACTTTCCATGTATATCCTTCTTATCACTCCTTCTAGATTACAAATTTGTGGAAGATTAGGTGTGCTCCAGGTTACCTGACCTAATATGTTATCTATATATATTGACCCTTAGTAAATATTTGTGCTTGAGCAGAACTTCATCTTTAATGGGAGCTCTGGTAGTGTAGTGCTTCAGGCACTTGACTACTAATCAGAAGGCTGGTGGTTCAAACCCACCAGCTACTCCTTGGAAGGAAGTTTGGGCAATTTACTTCTGTAGTGAAAGCACCTTGGAAACCCAAGGAGGGGTTGCTATGAGTCGGGCTGACTCGACAACACCTAACAACAACAGCAACTATCAAAAACCCAGAGTCCATGGGTGGTGCAAATGGTTAGTGCTCTCAGCTGCTAATGGAAAGTTTGGAGATTTGAGTTCACCCGAAGTGTTTTAGGAGCTCTGGTGGTGTAGTGCCTAAGGCATTTGACTGCTAACCAGAAGGCTGGTGATTCAAACCTACCACTCCTCAGAAGGAAAATTGGGCAATCTACTTTCGTAGTGATACTGCCTTGAAAACCCAAGGAGGGGTTACTATGAGCCAGATCTGACTTGATGGCAGTGAGTTTGGAGTTTCAGAGGTATTTGGGAAGAAACACTTGGTGATCTACTTCTGAAAAATCAGCCAGTGAATACCCCATTGTGATAGTTGGAGCTGTGTGTCAACTTGGCTGGACCCCAGTTCTGTGTGGTTATTCCCATGATGGGATAGGATGACTGTGTTCTGAGTGGCCAACCTGCCCAAGGGGAGTTTCCCTAGGGGTGTGGCCTGCTTCCAGGATATCCAGGGACATCCTGGGAAGAAAGATATCTTCTGTGGATTGGGACTCTGCTGTGCTGCCTACAACTTTCTGTGAGTGAGCAGCCCACGGCTCGGCCTGGAGATCTTGGATTCTTCTTTCATTGGAGTCAACAGCCAGGGTACTGCCTGCCAGCCTTGAGCTTCTTGGCCCCCTGTGGTTGCAGAAGCTAAGGCTGCCTCCAGCCTGACGTTTTCTCCAGGGACTTTGAACTTGTTGGCTTCTATACGTTTGTGAGCCATTTTCCTAAGATAAATTTCTCTCTCTCTCTCTCTCTCTCTATATATATATATAAGCTTTGCTGGTTTTTGCTTCTCTAGAGAACCCAGTCTAACACACCCACGGAGTACAGTTCTACCCCAACACACATGGGGTTGCGGTAGGTTGGAGTTATCTCAGTGGAAACTGGTTGTTATTAAAAGCTTAGCGGAAAACTTCGTAGAATATGTGAATCAAACCAAGCTTTATTTCTGAGAAGAAAAGCAAGGAAGCAGGAGAATGCTCTGTCACTCCTCTTGGAGAATCCAAGCCAGCCTTGGCCAGAGGGAGCCTGGGGGTACTTAGCTTTTCTAGGTTGTGTTGCTCTCCCTTGCTCTCTTTTTTATTCTTGTAAAGAGAGAAAAAGAGACTTTTGCAGAATGAGCACAAGAAAATGTCACAACGACTCTTTCTTCAGTATCTGAGAAAGAGGAAGCTTAGGTAATGTTTCCATGTGAGAATGGAGTTTAATTCTCTTGGAATCCAGATTTCTGCAGTCCATGGGGTTGGGGTGATTTACTCAGGCCATTGCCCTGAGATCTTCCTTTGAACTTTCAACCTTGAGAAAACTCATTTCCTAAAATCACCTTTAGGCCAAACAAAATAGCCTAGTAAGTAGCTTAATAAAAGTTGTTTTGCCTTGGGCATTGGGCTCTTTGGAATAATTATCTATGTGCAGTAATTTTGAGAAACAGAAAATCCAAAGTCAACTGGAATCTATGATTTAGGTTAAATTGTTGTCACGAAAACAGTACTGTGACCCCGTTTCCTTGGTCATGTCGGTAACATGGGGTATAAGAATCTTTGGAAGTTCTTTCATCTTTGGACTCTAGTCAGAAGTGTTGGCTAATTTGCAAATGTTATACTAAGTAAACTTTAAAACAGTTTATATTATTGGCTTAATATGATTTTTGTTTTAACTAATGTTAAATTGTTTTAACTAATGTTAACTCATCAGATAGGTGAGCAGAAGAGCTTTGTTTCTTTCTTTGAGATAGTTTAGCTATAGAAAGAAACAGTAACGTATTTATGCCAGTCTGAAAAAAAACACTCAACTGTATCTTCAAGATAGATTTAAATATTGATTTTATCACTATGGCTAATAATCTTGATTGCTGATAGGAGTCAGACACCATCCTGCATGTACTGCAGTCCTGAGTTAATCCTCACTACAGCCTCATGAGGAAGGTGTATTACATTTATTCATTTTCCTGATGAATAAATAGAGCAGAGAAGGTAAGCAATTTGCTTATATTCTCCCACTAAGTAAATAATCAGAGCAGAGATTCAAATCGAGTGTCTGACTCCACCATCATGACTCTTATTATCTTCTTAAGGCTAATTGGTTTAAAAAGCAAAACTAACCAAACAAACAACAACGAAGAAACAGTTACCTATTGAGTTGACTCCTACTCCTGGTGACCCCATGTGTGTCAGAATAGAACTGTTGTCTACAGGGTTTTCAATGGCTGATATTTTGGAAGTAGATTGCCAGGCTCTGTGATATGCAGACAACACACATTGCTTGCTGAAAGTGAAGAGGACTTGAAGCACTAGCTGATGAAGATCAAAGACTAAATTCTTCAGTATGGATTACATTTCAACATAAAGAAAAAAAATTCTCACAACTGGACCAATAAGCAACAACATGATAAGCAGAGAAAATATTGATGTTGTCAAGGATTTCATTGAGTGTGGATCAAAGTAAAATGCTGTCCAGTCAGTTCTGACTCAAGGCAACCCTCTGTACAACATGGCCTGTCCTGCACCATCCTCACAACCGTTGCTATGCTTGAGTCTGTCATTGCAGCCACTGTGTCAATCCACCTAATTGAGGGTCTTTCCCCTTTTTTGCTGACCCTCCTCTTTACCAAGCATGATATCCTTCTCCAGGGACAGGTCCCTTCTGACAACATGACCAAAGTAGGTGAGATGAAATCAGGCCATTCTTGCTTCCAAGGAGCATGCCTGCTGTACTTCTTCCAAGATAGATTTATTCATCCTTCTGGCAGTCCCGGGTATTTTCAATATTCTTCATCAACCCAAACAATTCAAATGCATCAATTCTTCTGTAGTCTTCCTTAGTCATTGTCTAGATTTCATATGCATATGAGGCTATTGAAAATACCATGGCTTGGGGCAGTGCACCTTAGTCTTCAAAGTGACATCTTTGCTCTTTCGCACTTTAAAGAGATCTTTTGCAGCAGATTTGTCCAGTGCGATACATCATTTGATATCTTGACTGACAACTTCAATCTTTTCTCTATTTATTGTGGTGTTGCTTATTGGTCTAGTTGTGAGGATTTTTCTTTTCTTTATGTTGGGGTGTGTTCCATACTGAAGGCTGTAGTCTTTGATCTTCATCAGTAAAGGCTTCAAGTCCTCTTCATTTTCAGAAAACAAGGTTGTGTCATCTGCATGTCATAGGTTGTTAACAACCTCTTGAAAACCTTAAAAAATGAAGCTGTTGTTTTGATGACTATACTAGCTCTGACCCAAGCCAAGGTCTTTTCAATTGCCTCATATGGATATAAAACCCAGACAGTGAAAATGGAAGACTAAAGAAGAATTGATGCCTTTGAATTTGGGTGTTGGTGGAGAATATTGAATGTATCACGGACTACCAGAAAAACAAACAAATCTGTCTTGGAAGAAGAGCCAGAATGTTCCTTAGAAGTAAGGATGGAGAGAGGCGGAGGAAAAGAGGAAGACCCTCAGTGAGAGGGACTGACACAGTGGCTGCAACAATGGGCTCAAACGTACCTACCAGAGTGAAGATGGCACAGGACCCAATAATGTTTCGTTACGTTATCCATATGGTCGCTATGAGTCAGAGCCAACTGGATGGAACCTAACAACAACAGACCACTGAACATTTCTTCCGAGGTGCCTCTGGGCAGATCTAAACCACCAACCCGTTCAGTTAGTAGTTGACAGCGTTAACTGTTGCACCATCCAGGGACTCCACACACCTGTTAAAAACAAAACCAAATTCACTGCCATCAAGTTGATCTCGACCTTGGGTTTCTGAGGCAGTATTACTACGGAAATAGATTGCCCAACCTTCCTTCTGGGGAGTGGCTGGTGGATTTGAACTACCAGCTTTCAGATTAGCAGTCAAATGCCTTAGGCACTACACCACCCGAGCTCCTATTAACCAAAAACCTGAGCTCCTATATGAACACCTAAAATAAACAATAGTAACAATACAAATGTTGGCAAGGATGTGGAAAAATAGATCTCTCATGTATTCTTAGTGGAAATGAAAAGTAGTACAGCCACTCCAGAAAACAGTTTTCCAGTTTTTTTTTTTTTTTTTAAAGAAAACCTAAACATGCATCTATCACATGACCCAAGAGTTACACTCCTAGGCACATCCCAGAATGTTGTTAGTGCTGTATGTCAAAGAGAAATTCTTCTTCAAGGAAATGTTCAAGATTGCAGATAGGGACCCTCAGGAAAGCCAGGCAGGGACAAGGCCTTTGGAAGTAGCAGGTGGAATGATTATGAGTTGTGGGTCAAGCTGGCTGGGTTGGACTACAGTTTCAACACTTTGTGATATTGAGCAAGTTAGTCAACCACTCAGGCTCCAATATCTCTATCTGTACAATGGCAATATTAATGATATTATATTAGTTCTGCTATAAAAAAAATCATAAACTGGATGGTTTATAAGAACAGACATTGTTGCACAGTTCTTGAGGCAAGGAGTCCAAATCAACATGTCAGAGTGGCTCTGCTCCCTCTCAAGTCTCTAGGGAAAACTTTTCTCTTGTCTCTCTCAACTTCTAGTTTTCCCAGACTTTCCTTGGTTTACAGATGCATTTTCACAAGGCTGTACTATCTCTATCTGTCTCTATGGATCTCTTCTCTTTTATAAGGACATTACTCAGATTGAATTAGGACCCACCCAACTTCAACATAACCTCATGTTAACCGATAACATTGTCAAAGACCTTATTGCTAAGCAGGGGGCAGGACTTCAGTGTATCTTTTTTGGAGACACAATTCAATCCATATCAGTATTAACCTCAGAGAGCTGTTGAGGACAGAGAATGAGCTACTGCACAAAATCAGAGCTCAATAATCTTAGTTATTATTATAATGATTAAGGGACATGGCTTACTGCTATTAGGAGGGTGTGATAGTTGAAGATGTGTCAACTTGGCTGGACTCCACTTGTGAGTGGTGGTTCCCATGATGGATCACATGACTGCATCCTAAGCGGCCGGTCAGTCTAGGGGGAGTTTCCCCAGGGGTGTGGCCT